TCCTTGCATTTTAAAAAATCACCTTCATTGGGGTATAGTTTACACAGGAAAATGCACACATTTTAAGTGTACCGTTTGATGAGCTTTGACCAATATCTATAGCATGTAACCACTACTTCAGAAAGTTATCTTGTGCCCATGGCTCTTACACTCTTACAAAATAAATGATGCTTCCATGATAAGATGAAGTGCTCAGGAATTCTATTCCAGTGTTTAAGATTCAGAACAAAATTTAGACCCTGGTTCCCCCTGGGCACTTTGAAGCAAGAAGCTGGGACTGAGCTCTGCTCAGAAGTGTTGAGGTCCTTTATTTGCCCACTGAAATTAGAAAGAAAGGGATACAGCCTTTCTTCTTTTGTTCCTTAATTAGGCCAAACTCATTGCCACCTTGGAGCTCATTGTGTTGGCTTGGCTCAAATTCTCATCTTTGGACTTGAGGAGGCTCGTCCATCCTTATCAATCAGGTCTCAGCTCAAAAGTCGCCTTTGAGAAGCTGTCCCCTACCACTGATGCTAATTTACTGCTGTCCCATGCCCCCTCCTGCCCATCACTCAGTGTTACTTGCTTTATTTCACATTACCGTCTAAAATTAACTTACTAATGTACTGTTTTACTAGTTTATTTCCTGTCTCCTTCCATTACTGTCCACAGTAAAGAGTGCAAGGATGCTGACAGTCTTTTCCACTCCTCCATCCTGAGTGCCTAGAACAGTATTGGGCACATAAGCGTTCTGGTTTCTAACATCCTGGTTTACATGACATGGAAAGTATCTTCCCATTCATTTATTCATTCGCTTGTTCATGTGTTCAGTTGGTATTTTTTTGAGTACCCATGGTATACACAGCCCTGTGTTGAGAGCTGTTGTGGAATAGTTAATAGTACAGACACAATACCTGCTCCCACAGAGCTAATAGTCAAATGGTGGGAGAAACAGGTAACACAGAAATCTACAGATAAATTGATACTAAGTTAAACCTTATGAAATTGCCATTATTCAATCAGCTTTGACCTCCAAAATGGCAATATTTCACCATAATTGTTGTGTAGTAGTTTCTTCCATATGGTACCTGCATTAGTCAGGGTTCTACAGAAAAACAGGATCTATTTTATATATATATACACATATTTATATTTATATATACATATATATGTATATGTAAAGAGATTTCTTATATAGAGTTGCCATTGACAAGTCCAAAATCTGCAGAGTCAAGGTCCCAAATGGTTTTGAGTCTGAAGGCCAGAAGGCTGCTACAGTTCCCAGGAAGAGCCTGTGTCTCAATGTGAAGGTCATTAGGCAGGAACATTCTCTTTACTCAGGAGGGTCAGCCTTTTGTTCTATTCATGCCTACAACTGACTGGACAAGGCCCACCTACATTATGGAGGGCAATCTGCCTGACTCAATCTATCAATTTAAATCTTAATCTTGTTTAAAGGCATACTCTCAGAAACATCCAGAATGATGTTTGACCAAACGTTTGGGCACCCTGTGGCCCAGGCAAGTTGACACATAAAATTTACCATCACAGCATGTACCTTTAGGATCTTGCTGGGCAGTGTTGCCTGTGGATCGCCTGGGAGCTTGAGGAGAATCTCAGGTCCTGCCTCAGACTTACTGAAACAGAGTCTGAGCTTTAACAAGATCCCTAGGTAATACTAACGCATATTAAAGTTTGAGAAGCCCCCAAACGGTATGCCACAAATAAATACCAAGTGCTTGGTCCTTCGGCTTGCAGCACATGGTTGTTTTTCCATTGTCTAATTCATTAAAATTTTCGACACATCCCTATTTGTAACATGTTTTTTTTAGCATGCATCTCAATATATGCATAATTGTTTTACTAGTAAGAATATATACACATACCAGTGAACAATTATTAGGTACATTATAAAGCCTGCATAAGGATAGAAATTTAAAGCTGAGCTGAAGGTGAAGTAAATACTTTTAAATTTTTCACTCATCATGATGACTTCATACAATCATTAGCCACAATCTCAAAGCATGATATACATACAGAATATACATACAAAAAAGATTCTACCATCCTAACCATTTTAATTTGTACAAGTCAGTGCTTTTTTGTATATCACCATCACAACCATCTAATTCCAGAACATTGTCATTATCCCAAAGAGAAACTCCATATACGTGAAACACTCACTTCCCAGTCCTCCCTCCCTCAGCCCCTGGCAATCTTCTAATCTACTGTCTTTCTCCAGGTTTGCCCTTTCTGAACATTTCATATAAATGAACTCATACAACATGTGGCATTTTATGTCTGGCTTTTCTCACTGAATGTAATGTTTCCAAGTTTCATTCATGTCGTTGCAGATATCAGTACTTCATTTCTTTTTATGGCTGAATACTACTTCATTCCATAGAATCCATTTTGCTTATGCATGCATCAGTTGAGCTGGGTTGTTTCTGCTTTTGTGCTCCTGTGAATAATTCTGCCATGTACCAGTCTCTCTTGACCATGCTACACTTTTATTTACTTAATTTTTGCAGCCCTTGTCTTTTTATTGAACACATACATTTTTTATGCTCTGTCCTAGAAAATAAGCAGTCATCTTGTTCATCTTGTACATTGCTGTATCTTCAGGGCCTTGAATAGTGCCTGGCACATAGTAGGCAATAAATGTTTGCTGAGTGAGTGAATGAATGAATGAATGAATGAGAGCTCTTGTTATTGTCTTGTCTTTTAGCAAATTCAGTCTTTTCCTCTAATTCATGTGGAACTCTTGCTGTGTTGACCTGTGTCTCTCTCATATCTGACACTTTTCACCAGATATGGTTCCTGGCCTATCGTCCCATTGCCCCATGAGCACCCATTCCCTCAAACTCGGGCCTCTCTACCTGAATCTAGTATCAAACCTGACTATGCAAGAGACTCCCATGGAGGACTTGTAAAACACAGATAGCTGAGCTCAATCTTTGGATTTTCTGAGTCAGTAGGTCTGGGTGGATCTGAAAATTTGCATTTTAACAAGGTGTAAAGTGATGCTCTTGCTGTTGGTTGGCAGACCAGTGTTTGAGAATCTCTACTAAGGTGGGGTGAGTTTCAGCAGACAGGCTGGGCTCACTGAGTTCATAGGTGGCATGTGTGGGCCTCACCCAAACAGCTCATCTTCCTTCTCTGTCTCCTTTGATTTGGACTCAGAGGGTTCTAGTTAGTTAAGAACATCTGGATACATCATAAAACAAAGAAGTATCACTTCTGGGTGTACACGCTGGAGAAGCTCTCCCTAGTCCAAGGGGGCATGTATGTGAATGTTTACCGCAGTGTTGATTACAGAGGCAGGGGGTTGGGGACCATCGAAGAGTCCATAATTAGGGAAATGCATAAGCAGGGCTGATATTCTGCTGGTTCTCAACAAAACAATGATGCTTAAAGCTGGCATCCATTCTGATTGGTTGGCTTCCCTGCCAGACTAGTTGTTGTACATTGAGACTATTATTCCTATAGTCAGTAAACTATGGTGGCTGCATATGTAGTAATGCTGCAAGTGAGTAAAAGACACACACATGTACAACTTCAATATTAAATATCTTTTGAGGATATTCCTATATCTAAGTAAACAAATGATTGAGGGTTGATACAGAGAAAAAAGTGTATTGGTGATGTCCGACCTTAGGTGTGATGTGTTTGGCAGTGGCCTGTACTCTGTTAGATGCACACACTGAGCTTCTTTCCTAAGCTTGTATTTCATTGTGGAGGTTACTGTTATAGGTTGAATCATGACCGTCCCCCCAAAAAAGACATTAAAGTCCTGACATCCCTGGTCCTCTGAAGATGACCAGATGTAGTTAGTTAAGATGAGATCATACTGGAGTAGGGTGGGCCCCTAATACAATATGACTGGTGTCCTTAAAAATGCCCGTTGAAGACGAGACACAGGGAGAATGCTCTGTAAGGGTGGAGACGGAGTTTGAAGTGATGCAGCTTTAAGCCAGTGAATACCAAAGATTTGCAGCAACCCACCAGAAGCTAGGAAGAGGCAAGAAAACCTTTAGCGTTCAGAGAGAGCACGGCCCTGCTAAACATCTTGTTCTTGAACTTTTGGCCTCCAGAATTGTGAAACAATACATTTCTGCTGTTTTAAACCATTTAGTTTGTGGTACTTTGTTACAGCAGCCCTAGGAAACTCATACAGCCACTTTAACACCCCCTCAACTTGTTTCCTTATTTATAAAATAATAGTGATAAGAATATTGACCCTTGGGTGAGTGTCAAGGAGATTACACATGATGATAAATGGAAGGCACCTGAAACACTCCTGGCACCACAGATTCTATGCTTTCCCTCCACCTCCAGCTACTGATTAAAACTGTCACCAGCATGGGGTGTGTAGGGGTCATACCACATCCTCCATAGCTACAGGAAGCCCCCCATACTCAGTGTACAGGGCTGTGAATACCGACTCTTGTTGAAATCTCTGAGCTACAACTTACTTGCTGTGTGACTTTGAGCAGGTTAATTCACCTCTCTGAGCCTTTACTTATCTGCAAGGAAGGAGTAATAATCCTAATAAGGTGTTTATAGGCTGCTTCGTTGAATTAAGGCATGTAAGACAATTAGCATAGTGCCTTCGTATAGTAAATACTCAGTAAATGTTGTTACTAATAGTGGGCCGTTGCCATACATGAAGTGTTGGTATCTAGTATTAAATATAAGGGGAGACTAATCTATGGGATGCAGACATATGACATACATTCATTATTTAGTCCTGTCAACAGTTCTATGAACTAGCTAATACTGCTATTACACAGTTATTGTGGGAAGGATGTGGGCTGTTCTGCACAAAGTCCTTGTGTAACCTCAAATTGCACTGACCTTGCCTACTTGTGTCTCCCACCCTGTCCCCCATCCCTAACTAGAATGGTGGCTCCATGCAGTAAAGGGGTCTTATCTTTTGTTCACAAGCCTAGTGCTCACAGCACAGCGGATGCCAGTCATTGTGTTTTGAATGAACAGATTTAAATTCTTTTTCCTTTTAGGGCCCTTGCAGATGTCATGAGGCCACAGGGCCACTGCAACACTGACCACATGGAGAGAGACCTGAACATTGTGGTCCATGTGCAGCATTACGAGAACATGGATACCAGAACCCCCATAAATAATCTCCGTAAGTAGAGTTGTGTGATCCATTTCCAATCCCACATGGTGACCAAGGCAGTGGTCACACTTCCAGATCTCCTGGTGTGTGTTTGGGCCCATTAAAAGCTTCTCTTTGTTGACTAGTTAGAAGTTCTATTTCATCTCTCCTGGATGAAGCTGCATTTGCCATTGTCAGAGTCCACTTGGCTTGTTTCTCTGTGACAGTGTGATACACTTGGTTGATTTCTCAGGGTTGGTTCTGTTAACTAACAGACCACTTGGTTGGTTCATCTTGGTTGGGTACTTAGTTAGCCAATGGATTACTTGGTTGGTTCATCTTAGTTAATCTCTTAGCCAATGACCCATTTTGTTGGTTCATCTTGATTGGGTAATTGGTTAACCAATGGCCCATTTGCTTATTTGTCTGCCTCCTGAGGTAGACCAGTTGTGACTTTTAGGTTTTGTACTGTTTTCAATGGACAGATAGTAGTTCAGAAGAATTAGACCTATTTTTCATAAAACTAGAGTTTCATAAAAATAATGCACAAACTACTTTTTGTGTGTGCATGTGCATGTACTCCCACACCTTTGTGTATTAGGAGTTGGGTTGCTAATGTTGTGTTGGGGTGTGTATGTGTGATTCAACAATAGCAAATTCATTCTGTTGTTCTTTCAGGATAAAAAAACTGCATTTGTTGTTGTGTTTCAATCTTTAGCTGATGAAGCCTACTTGGGGATCTCAGTATGCTCCCAAAGATTTTTTTTTGCTTTCAAAGGTCTGTATGTACAACACACATTATGGATTTGATACACTGACTAACGGGAGTGGGGAAAAACAAGATTGTTTAATTTTTGACAATAGTGTACCACCGTGGTTATTCCTAGCAATTGTGTTTTTTAGTAACCCCCATGTTAAAGCAGTGGAGAGTAAAGTAGTTTGGTTTAAAATAACAAAAGCCAGAGAATTTAGAGGATGCATTTAGTTGTGGCTGGAAGTTCTTAAAAACAAAAAAAAGTTCTGGCATTGAACAATTTATAGTCTGGTTCGCCTTTGCTGAAGCTCCACTAGGAGTTGCATAGATGTTTTAGTTGCTGAATCATAGTTTTGGACTGTTTGGTTACAAATTTTTATGCTTGATGGGTAGAGGGCTATGCCTGTGGAATTTGACATAGGAGACACTAATCCTCTGATTCTGTGTGGTGATAATTTTCCTTGGCCTTGGAAATGTTACAGTCTGCTCACAAAGTCAATGTTTGGATGACTTGAAAATGGGTACCAAATAGAATGTCTTAGGTTTCATTGTTTTAAATAATTCAACATTATTTATTTATGACCAGGTCATAAAATGGTACGAGAAAAGCCATATTTTAGAGCCATGAACAGCAGGAATTGGAAGTTTTATGACCACATCTCACAGCCGTAAAAGATAGGCTATATTGCACAAACTCTGACATGGCAATAGCTGTGTCCAGTCCCAGCTCTGATGGAAATGAGAGCATTCTCTTTTAGATGGCACTGGGAAATGAAAACCTGTGTGTATGTGGCTCCTGGTCATCACAAGTGGGCAACCGTGATCACAGAGTGGACAAAGCTGCAGTGGTGCTGCGCCCCTGGCTATAGAAGGTGACTGTTAACAAGTTTCTCATATGACGTTTCAATCAAATGGAATAACAAACTTATTAAAGTTATCCAAACTTCATCATTCCATTAGGCGAATGGAAGGATACATTAATGAATCTTGCTTAATAAGGGACTTAAAAATGTGTAGTGAAATAAATGACTGCTTAGAAATGGGGGTCCCGGCACTGAGTAAATCAGAAGTCTCTTGCCACAGACTGACTTGGTTTATTTATCATTCTTGCTTTTGGTCAGTATTTGTGTCTCAGTAATCAGTGATCTTTTACACCAAGAAAAAAATGTGTCTTGTAGTGTTCTACATAGGGGAGAATTTCGGGTGTAATGGCACAAACACTGCATTCTCACAAGAGTTACCACAGATATTAATTTCACATAACCCTGCTGGGTTGATCCAATCCTTATTTCCTAGAATTCCTGGGAATATTTGGAAAATAAGACACATATAGCTTTTGTATGGATTTGCATTAATAAGTTTAATTTATATAACTAATTCAGTAGTTGGTAGTAATGATAGATTTTCTTGTAATGATTTTATCTTTTTACTGATTTATAAGAGCCATTTATATATTAGAGACACAGGGAAAATTTGCATGTTCAGAAGGAGGAATGATTTTGGAGTTCCTTAAGAGGATAGGACTGTGTGACTTATATTTATCAGCTATTAGGTGTTCAAGAAGCCAACCAGTCACCAGAGGTCACTTTAACCAATTGAGAAACAGCAGAGAAGGAATGTATTCTGATAACTGGAAAGTGCCGGAATTAGAATGTACCTATTGAATAGAAAAGCCTTTTATGAACATTATGGAAAATAGAAAGAAAGATATGTCTGTTTGTGATATGCCAAGAAGGAGGCACATCATACTGTTTTCAAGGTGCTCTTTACTTAACATCCAAGTTACCATATTTGACTGGGAACTCAATAGTCTCAACTTAAATATCATCTTCCTTTCTGTTCAATGACCCACTAGACACGACTTTAAGAGAATATGTAATCATCTCCATCTATTTCTCTCTCCTCATCTTCTTAATACTAATGCTAGATTACTTTCTGATCTTTCCCTTGTGCTTGGGTCAACTGCTAAGAGAATCAAAAGTCAGTGTAGAAGTCTGGATATGTAGAAGGGGGGAATGGAGAAGGACTAGTGTGGAGTCAAATAGGGAGGAGAAAGCTTCAATTTGGAGACATTTTGGCCAACCTTTTTTTATAAATTTCCTATAGTTGATTTTCCCAGTGACAGAGAGGACTTGCCTCTTTATCTGAAGATGGATTTTTCTTCAGCTGATACTGTTCATGTTCTTTCCAGGCATTCAGTGATATTGCCTAAAAATATTTAGTCTGATAATCAAAAGAGCTTTGACCTCTTTGATTAACAGGATGTAGATTCAGATGAGATAGTGATTTTCTGCAAATGCTCCTTGGCTTCTGTATAATTATAGCTTGCTTTTACAGGCATGTTCTGTCCTCAAGTGCTGTGAATGTACTCTGTCGCCCCCACCCCAGCCTCCTTGCCTGCTAGTAATACCCCTCACCCCTTTTGGGAGTGCAGAGTGAAGATAGGTTCCCTTCAGTCTTAAAGATGGGGGATGTGAGTGAGGGGCCATGGATACAAGAATACAACCTGGATCATTGTTTCTCAACTCCTTTGTGTGAACAGCATACCTTTTTTTTGAAATAAAATTTTAATTTTGAAATAATTTTGTATTTACAGAAAAGATACAAAGAGAGTACACAGAGTTCTGTATGCTCCTCACCCACTCTCCCCCAATGTGAACATCTTACATTTCTGTGGTGCACTTGTGAAAACTAAAAAATCAACATTAGTACATTATTTTTTAGCTAGACTGGAGATACTTGAATTTCACTAGTTTCTTCACTAATGTCATTTTGCTATTCCAGGATCTGATCCAGCATACTGCATTATATTTAGTACAGCAAACTTGGTAGTAGAATTTTGGTTGTGCCATATTGTTTAATGATATAGTAAGAACTAGAAACAATACTAAATAAGGCAGTAGCAATTACAAAGCCTTTATTGCCACAGTATAAAAGAAATGTCTTCTAGTGTCTATAAAAGCATTCATATAAAACTATCCACCTGGTCAGTGTTGGAATGGAACTGGTGGCTCTCCTGACGGTGCTCCCACATAAATACTCATGGGACAGGCTCTGTGCAAACATACGACCCCCCTTGGAAATAGGGTTGATGTTACACTGTTGATTTTACAGCATAATCTGAGCAAGTGAGATCTCGCCCTAAACTGAGGAGAAATGCGGACTTGATGTTTTAGGACACAGAATCTACCGGGAAGACCAGGCTATGATTTCAGCCTCATCCCACCCCTGCTCCCCTAGGACCATTCCCAAATGGATTTACAAGGAACCAGATGTAAAGCTGATCAGGTTAAGTTTCTGAAGATGTTGTGTAGCTCATATCTTGGGCCAGATGGGTTTCCATTTATTTGCCTATATTTGCCAAACACTCAGATATCTTATACTTGACTTTTGGAGATACTGGTAGGGATATTTTATAACATGTTTTTTAAAATTGGGAATTTCTTTTTTTTTAAAGATTTTATTTATTTTATTTTTAGAGAGGGAAGGGAGGGAGAAAGAGAGAGAGAGAGAGAAACATCAATGTGCAGTTGCTGGGGGCCATGGCTTGCAACCCAGGCATGTGCCCTGACTGGGAATTGAACCTGTGACACTTTGGTTCGCAGCCCGCACTCAATCCACTGAGTTTAAAATTGGGAATTTCTTAATCAGGGAAGGGAAAAGGGCAAATATAGATATAGGAGTATATAAAAGTAAAAATTATGTAAGATAGTATAATATTAACAGTAACTTAGGCAGCATTCTAAACCCCCAACACATTGAATCTTCAAAATCTTATTAAGTTAGTGCTATTACTTTTACCATCATAAGGATGGGAAACTGAGGTTCAGAGGGTTAGGTGGCTTGTCCAAAGTTCATACAGTTACTAAATGGTGAAGCTGGAATTTAAAGCAGAGCAGGAAGACCCGAGGTTGGTGTTTGTAACCACTGTACTACATGACCTTTCCTTGTGGTACAGGTGTTTGCAGAGTGGGAAAAACCTCTCCCAGGAGTTGAAGTTGTTAAAGGATATGTTAAATGATTCAAAACATCTAATGGCACTCTAGGAAAGAGGGCTGTTTCCAAAATATACCCCAGAGTACTTACTGTCTTGTGATGAGTTCTATCTTAGAAGAAATTATAACTAACATTTATTGAGCATTTGCTATTTACCAGGCATTATGTGTTAAAGCTTTGAATGTATTGGCTCATTTCATACTCAGAATAACTCTCAAACAGCCTGGCTCATTTTTACCACAGGGCCTTTGTGCTTGCTGTGCTTTATGCCTGCAGCACA